AATTTTTTTGAAATATCCATTTCGTGGAAATCGTCTTGGAAGTTGCCTTTTGCTTTTTTGCTAATACAATTCGATGTTTTGCGAGGTTTGCTAATTGATGTGTGGTGGATGCATGGCTTATCCTAAAAGATGATTTCCATGACAAATGCTTTCACATTTTCTCATAAACAACGCTGGTCTGGGTCAAATAGAATCGCAGGGCTTTGTATCCGATTCTAATCCGCAATTAATCATTGTATTCAATTGTTATGACGGCGGAAACTGCGGCGCAGTTTACCTTTTTCGGCAGTTTTTCATCACACACACCCATTGAATTATTGTTCAACGGCACATGGCGGCGATATCGTACGGACATTGCAGTTTTCACGTTCCGCAGTGATTAATGGGAGTTCTAAATCCATCGCTCATATAATCCGTAGATCCATTGAATATCGAGTTTAAAAAAGTCTTCGCGCTGGTTAGTGTGTTTCATGGCTGATAAGCAACCACGTGTTTTGAAGATATCCCCTTATTCCTCTCTTCAATTGGCAGATTCCTCCTGTGGCCATTCAATCACCTCCCCGGTTCAAGGTGGAAGTTTGATATGTGGCGCATCACCAACAATTTAATCGGAAAATGCTGGTCATTTCATTCAGAACGGATGGTCTAGGTGCCGCGAAACCGTGAGAATGCCATGTTTTATGACCGAGCATGTCTCAGTTCTGGCTAGCGTTGTCAATCTGGCCGTGTTTAATCCCAAATGGACAAACCTCAAGCTTCTCATTGTCTGAGGTCACTGGGCTCAGAGAGCGATTCTTCGATAAGACAATCTCGGTTCGACCCTTTGCATCGAAGGCCTTTTATAGATCTGAGGTGTATTCAACCACTTCTAGAAGGACGACGAAGGTGGCTGCATGGCGCACACTGGATCTCTCCTCATCGAGCGATTCTTTCCCGAGCTGCTGTTAATCCTTGCATGCCTTCAGTTAAGAAATATCGATTGATTGAGGAAGCGAACTGGCAAAATGGCATCGTTCAATGACACGCGTCGTTGGGCACACGACTCCGAGGACGACGGGTTGGGTGCCGAAGGGCTGAAAATGCAAAAACCGGGAACAATTTTCGTTTCTACAAATTACGACTTAAGGGCGCAGTACACGCGCGTTTCATTTCTTAGCGGATGAGCAATTTCGGTGATGTCTGGTGTAATTATGGTACGCTAATGTGATGTCGGTTTGGACAATGTGTAATTTATAGCCGGCTCGCTCCGTAGCTGTTTATACAGTAACAACGACGGCGCACAGCGGGTGTCGAAGGGCATCTGTTCGGGACTCATTATGTAAACGAGGTGTCAGTTCGTAAGCTCCTTAAAAGGATGAGAATGCACATCCATTCATAGTAAAGGCCACGTAATGGGAGTTGATGCCATAGGGTAGAGTAACCTGCTTGACTTATGGATTTTGCCCTTGAGTCTCAAGTGCAAAGTCAGAATCAAGCAACTACTCTAATGAAAGCCACTCTGTAAATAAACCTGTGAGACAACAAATTTAGTAGCATTTCTGAAAACTCGTTAGTTTCCCGATGGAAATTTGTGGAAGGAGAGCTACAGTGCCTGTCTGAAGGGCGCCCGCTGGAGCCTGCTTCATTAATCAGTCATGCGGTGTGATTAGCATAAAGTCACAGCGTATTGTCCATAGCAGACCGGCCGCCGCCGCGGGAGGCAGGTCAGTATTGTCCGGGTCCGGCGGTCCTAAAAAGGAGATCCCGCCGTGATTTAGTGCTCAAGGGTGGTTTAGATAGGGGTGAACGTGATTGGGAGTTTTGTGGAATAGTCAGTCCTATGAGCAATCTCGAGCATTAAAGCAAAGCTACATAAGGATTTTTCTAGTGGCGTTGGAACTACTCTGCGGATAGTCAAGGATTGGGTTGGTTCTAGTATGATGTCCGACTTGGTGTGAAAACTTCTTAAGTGCCTTAAGTGCTTACAATTTGTAAGATTCAAAAGAGCGGCGTTCACATTTTTGTTAGACTTGAATAAGGCTTTTCTTCGCTCGCGCAGGGTATGTTTTGTCATTCAATATTAGCAGTTGTACTCTAGGTCTACCAAAGAAAGGGCTCTTGGAATGTTCGGTTTTGTCGTTTCAAATTTGGGACGGAAACCCAATTCCTGTTGCACAAAAAACAGTTTATCTTTCCATGTCTGCAATGAAATTACCGCTCGCGATACTCTCTCTCAGTGATCAAAGGAATTGCATCCACACTGAGGCCGGCGTTCGTTTGTTCGGTCAATTTCGTGCTCAGAATTATGACCTCGTCCGTTCTTTTACCCCAGGCTTCACTAGTGTTGAGTTCCATCAAATTGGCATTTGCTGCGAGAGTATTCGAATTTGGCGCTTATGGCGCGGCAAGGTTAGAAGAGCGGTTGTGGAATTCATATGTGAGTGACGGGAGTTGATGCCCGGTGGAGGCCACAATGGAGTTACCCGGCGGTCGCATATATCCCGGACGGCCCCCTGGCGAGACCGGAAGGTTACGCAAGACGGGCGGCGTTTCGATTACAGATTACTCCTTTGTGACGAACTTATGCGACTTAGCGAGCAGTTCTGAAAAGGGCTTTTTGGTTGAAGGAGGGCGAGTTTCAGTGATCGGTGTTCGGAGGCACATTGTTTGTGTCGGCGACCATATCGGTTTCCTGGCGAGAAAATAGCGGGAGTTTACGTAGAATGCCTCGCCAAGCACATATACCCAAGCAGGAAAGAAGGTTAACCCTTTCGGCCCTGGCGGTGGCAATTGCCACCACCAAATTCAAACGCTTGCATTGCCGCTGAAACAGCATGGTTTTTCTAATCCTGCTAGAGTTGCTTCAGTCAACCTTCCCCTTCCTAATTATGAGCTAACCTGCCATTTCATTGTGTGTTGCTGTTAGTATTACAAGTATTTGTGTACAAGTGCAACAATGAATGGGCGCTGACCCCCGCAACCGGCCAAGTAAGTGTGACTTTTTCTTAAAATACTTGAAGTAGGATCCATTCCTAAATCAAAATTATGGGTTATAATGTTATGCAAGATTATAAACTTTTTCGGCATAACTATGAAATTTCGAATCAATATTTCGGGATATCAGCGTGCTTAAAAACTAAGAAGGTGGGCCACCAATTTTCAAAGCTTCTTAGTTTCTTTGTTTGTGATCGAATAGCTTCCAAATTTCGCCATAATGATACCTATATGCTCACAAGTAATAAACAATAGCTAGAAGAAAAATTTCTCCACGGGGAAAAATTCAGGTCCGAAAGGGTTAAAAATCTGCCCTTCGTTTATGTATGCCGCGAAGTTATTACGGATCGAATTTTGTTTTATTTTATCCTTTTTTGACTATCCCATGGATTATATAAATTTTGGTGCAGTTTTGGGCGTGTAAACTGTAGTTGTGCCCAATAAGCCACCGTGCTTGGACCAGACCGATACGCTATTAGGGATATGAGGGCGTAAAAAACTCAATGTCCCGTTGTATTGAGACGGTTTTACGTGGATCGTCTCAAAATTGCGCGTTTAAAATGTGGTCAATCGGCACGCATCGTTGGTTTATTAGGCCTTGGACCTCATTTCTTCAGGAGTTAAGCGGAAGATGACCCAGTCAGAGGGCTAGAAACATTGCGATGCGACGTGGGCCCATGAGGAGACTTGGTCACAGGATGACTTTTGGACATTTTGGGCTAGAACCTGGATAGGCTATCCTGATACTGAGACTTTAGGTCCCTGGTAACTGGGTGAATTCCTATGCTATCTCCTAGGCTCTGGATCCTCCCTAACTCGGTGTGATCTATGGTTACCATAAGTATGAGAGGGGTAAGAGGGGAAAATGTTCAAGGTGTAGAGCTCAGTTGGGCACTGATCTCGGTGAGACTTTTTGTTCTCTCACTGATTTGATAGATGTCACAAAAGCAAGGCAGATTCACCACCCGATGGGCAGAGGGGAAATCGTTAAGTTGTACGGCCAGTTGTGGCGCAGAAGAGCCCGAAGCAGAGCGACCTGGAAGATGTGCGACCTGCGTTTCTGGCGTGCCCGGGGCGAATAGCGGTCGAGAAGTAAGAAGATGTCACAGGAGCATATGCCCTATCTCGGTAGGGCTAAATTACAAGGCCCAAGGTCTCATTTGCCGTTGACCATGAAGCATATGTAGCACATCCATCAGCAAGGCGGCTCGTCCAACAACTGCTGCTGACGTTTTATTAGAACGATGAGAAGTACGCGTGGCGCAGGTCATGCGAACATCGGCACATATCATACGATAGCGATATTACACCGAGAATTTCTTCGTGGTAAAATGTTGTGCATGTTGTTCGCTTCGATGGTCAACAAAAACCGTGGAATGCGTGTTTCGATCGGATCTGTCGAGCAATTGCTGAAACAAAAGAGTACTAGCACTAGCAGAGAGGGGGGGGGTATTCTGCGTCAAGGCGGAAAGCTACTAATGGCAGCGAAAGAGAAATGATAAGGCCAACAGAATAGTACGCAACAACCCTTTGAAGGAAAATTTTCGCATCCTATTTTTTAGATGCTTCCTTGAACTTTGGTGCCATGGAGCTTGAATCCAGTTGATGGCTTTGACGGATGGTCCATCGCTTTCGGCATTCTCTCTTTTGATTGCTTGTTTCTGTCAAGATTTAAATGAGCTAGTTTATGAAGATGAAGCGTTTCCTCCTTATTCCATCCGCAATTGTTGGGGGCGTGGAAACCTAGAAAAGTGCGTCAGGCTTACGCTGTCTTCTGCTTTTTTTACGACCTCTGTCTAATGCACTTATAAAGGCTAAACGCTGACAGTAATCTATCACGAAAGGGAGTTTGGAGCACAACTCCTGCGCAGGTCGAAACTCGAACTGGTCAGTTTTTTTAGAACACTTGCCAGTGTAAGGCTTTACAACCGATCAGAAAGCACAAGCAGGACCAAGATCTTTTGAAGGCCAAATGCTATGCTGATGATCAATAGTTGCAACTGCGTTCGAATAGCAGTCCAAATAAGCTAAAAAAAAATGCTAAATAGGCAGTCTTTGGGGGAGCTCTGACTAGATAGGTACAAAATTCATTGGTAAATTCTGCGGAATTCTCTGGAATCTCGCAATTCTGGTTACTTAATAATGTGAAAAGTCTTCTGAACAGATTGGTAATTAAACTTTTTCAAGAAAAAATAAAAAAAAGAGTTTTGTCTTGATTTGTCAGTTTTTTTTTTTAACGAAAGTGTATGTTCGTTAGGAAAAATGGGAATTTACTGTGACTATGGTGTTCTGAAAACTAGGAGAATTGCGTCATTGTGAGAAATCTGATTCATAGTACTTTTTCCTCTATCTTACGCAAAATCCTCCCATATTTTTATTTTCATTTTTATTTTTTTATTATGGTTTTTTTTCTTTGCTCACTTTCACATAGCCCAATATGAACTAATGAGAGGGCGTTGACCTCACGCTCTTTTTTCTAGCCTTCTGGTGTAAGGTGTGGTAATAAATTACAAGGTTTATGAGTCATAAATTATTACTCAATGGCTAAAGGCGGCCAGAAATATGTAGTGAGACACGTCGATCAATACACATCAAATGCATGTGTTAATACCAAAACAACATACTCAGGACAAAAAGTCTCGATTGTATTCCATATTTTCAGAAATGCCGTCTACAACCCTCACTAACGCACAGCAGTGATTCATCATGTGAGTTATTGACTTTATCGACTTTTTTTACTATGGGTTATTGATTAGCTGTTGAATCAGGGATACCCGTTGACTACCATATTTGTATACGTGCGCTTCTGGTGAAGTATTTGGGTACGCGAGCCGATAATCTCCTACTGTAATACCAGAATTAATTGCCAGACATGCACTTGTGATGATTCTCGAATCCATACAGTAAAGTAAACAAAAAAGTTCCAATGACCAGATTACGGTAGTTGTACTTCACCGTGTCAGAGGATTGAAAGTAAGGAACAAAGCCGGATACAAGTTGGGTAAATAGAAAAGTTAAAGGCAGTCAAAGAAAGTAAATATGGGCGTCAATGGGAAAGGTCCTGAGTGGAATGAGCTTGTTCAAAGGGTTGGAATATGGTATTGGGATTGTATTTTGGTAAGCTGTAATTTATTTAAGATTTTAGTAGTGATTGCTGAGAATGCAATCGTTCAGAAGTAAGCAACGCCTTACGTTTCCGCGACGGTTGCGCCTTAGACATCGCCTATTAACTTTATCGTTTTCGTTCGAAGGCTCAGGATACGGTAATTGTGAGCAATACGATCAATATGTATGTTTTTCATTCAGAAAATTGACTGGAAAACCACCAGCTGATGTGATAGAAGAGTGTTTAATGAAGGGCAAATTGAAGGTCAGCGGTTTAATTTCTGATTATATTTTTTAGTATTTTCCAAAAACAATGATTTTTTTCTTGTCATCCATCCCCTTCTTATTTCAAATGTGTGGTAATGCTGTGGTGTCTGCTGGATTTTTCCGCGTGTCTCAGTTTTAAATACAAAAGTGAGCGCGAAGTTGTTTGTAGATTTCAAATACTTTGCCTCTCTGCGCCAAAATAATCCCTTTTTTAATTACATAAGCGCCTAAAGTTATTGTGATGAGAAAGTTGTAGAACGGAGCTTCAGTTTTGTGCCCGCGTGGCCTCATTATACATGCATGAGGCGTGCGGATGCGGCGCAGTCAGTGTTACTAATGTTTGAGAAGAAAGTGGAGAAATGGACTTTGTAAGCGAGAGGCTTATGGCCGATGTCAGACTTTGCGAATCGCGCGATTCGCTAGCGTCTGCGGTCGCGTCGCGGCCAGTGAATCACTCAATTGGCTGGTACCGCAACGCGACCGCGGACGCTAGCGAATCGCGCGATTCGCAAAGTCTGACATCGGCCTATGACGGGGTTGGGATCTTAGTCATTTAACTTTATTCAATTTGATTTTTGGCATTTTTAGCTATATCTACAGTTTTTTCGTATTTATATTGGAATATCGATTTTTAGAGCGACTGCCAAAATTATATCCGAGTGCTGGCGCGCCAATCATCGGGCAAGGCGTTGATATGTGGAACGCACGCGTTTTCGCCAAAATGCAGAGAATACGTGTATTCGAGCACCGATGGCACGTTAAAAAACGTTCGGCAATTTGACGGAATGGTAGGTTATGCGCGATTTTTGGGACACTTGATTTGGAAAAACCTGGTAGCGTTTTGTTGCAGGGCATATCGCCGTATGATCCGCGTGATAATTCGACCGTGGTGTATCTGCCCGAGACGAATGAGATCTACACGGGGACCGTATCAGATTTTGTAGGCAATGACCCTTTAATATATCGGAAACGAATCGGTGAAAACGATCGCGATAACGGTATTCGGACCCAACGCGATGACGCCCGGGTCCTGGACTGTAAGTTTTCGAGAAAGTTGAGCTGTGTGGGGCGAGATATTGATACGGTATTTTTATAGCGCCAAATTTTGTCGGCTTCATTCGTCTACAAGGAACATGTCTACTATTGGTATCGGGAACGAGCCGCTGAAGCGATGGATAATAATGAAGAGCGTCAGGTAGGTCTTGGCTGGAATTTGTACTTAGCCTGCTGGCTAGTTGCCAAAAGTAAATCTCGATATATTCCTGTCTTTCAAGATCTTACGCTCGTGTGGCACGGGTTTGTCGTAACGACAAAGGTGGCGCGAGGCCGGCTAATGAGCGATGGACATCGTTTGTGAAGGCACGGCTGAACTGCTCGCTGCCGTCGGCTACACCGTTCTACTTCAACGAACTCAGTGAGTTTATACTTCCAAGAGCCGTTGGCTGGTTAAGATGGTAGACCGACGTAATTGAGTAGT